GTCCGCCTAGCGGGGCGCCCCACGCGCCGCTCACCTGCATGATGGTCTTGCGGATCTTCCACAGCCGGTAAGTCTCCTCCTCGTCGTCCATGGCTGCCGCCGCCGCTCGCGCCCACTGCGCCTGCGCCCGGCAGGACCGGCGCCCACTGCGCCTGCGCCGAGCTCCGGTCAGGCCCCCACCTCATCCGCCCAGTGCAGGGCTGTCGCCAGCGAACGCCTGACTGCAGCGACCTTCGAGCCCGGCAGCGCCAAGGGCAGCCCGAGCCTTCTGAGAGCGGCGGTTGGCTGCGCGAGAGGCGTGCGAACGGCACCGTCCCCAGGCACATCAGAAGTTCTCGCGAGGCGTTGACCGCAACGCCTCTCGGGAGTTGTAGTTTCCTCTCAACGTCCGCCTGGGGCGGCGGTTTAGAATCCCAACAGGCAGAAGTGAGGTGTGCGCGGGAAAACTGAGGCCTGCAGGGGGCAGGGGTCTGCTCACCTCTCAGAGACGGTCGGGCGGCCTAGGAGGCGCTCTATAAACATGGGTGCATTCCAACTGTAGGGCGGCTCTCTCAGTTGGCTCTTGGCCACGTGCAACTGAATGCCCCTGAGCCTCAGTTTCCCGTCTGCACAATGGAATTAATAAAGTGTCCCCACTGTAGAGGGTCTGCTGAGAATCTAAAGGGACAGTCGTGCTTGGGAGGAGCTTGGCCTAGCTCCTGGTGCTTATTAAGTGCTCCCACCTCGGTCGTCCCCTGTCCGGTCCGCAGAGCGCCCCCCACCCCACCCCAGACTGTGCCTGTCTCATCATAAATAAGTTATAAAGTATGTTAGAAGGTGACAGTGCTGTGAAAGAACAGACAGAGCAGGACAGGAGCTGGGAGCTTTGCAGTCTCAAGTGGGATGGTCAGGGACGGCAGGGAGGGGAGAGTCCAGCAAAAGCCCACAGGAGGAGAGGGAGGGAGGCCTGGGGACGTCTGGAGGGAGGTGTGTCAGGCAGAGGAGGCAGCCCATGCAAAGGCCCTGAGGCTGGACCTCGCCTGGTGAGTTGGCAGTGTGGGGGAGGAGTAGAGAGGAGGTCAGGGGTGACCCCGGGCAGATCCCAGGAGGCGTCCTTGGCCGGGTTCAAAAGTTGCGTTTTCTTTTTCAGCCGTCGTCAGCATTTCAGCAGGGCAGAGGCAGAGAGACAGGGAGGGGCTGAGGATGAGGAGCGCGTCCTGGCCAGAGATGGGGGTGGCTCCGACTAGGGTGGGGTGAGCGGTGGGCAGGTTCCGGGAATTCTGAAGGCAGTGCCCACAGGATGTGCAGGTGGACGGGACGTGGAGATGAGAGAGGGAGAGACAGAAGAGGCAGGGTGGAGCTGCCCTGACAGGGTGGGGTGATTCTGGAGGGGTAGGTGCAGGGGGCAGATGCGGAGGGGGTCTTGGATGCGGTGAGCTTGGGGCTCGGTGGGACCCCAAGAGGAGATGGGAGGAGGCGGGGGGATACGAGTCTGGAATTCAGGGTGAGGCTGGAGCGGAGGGCGACACGCAGTGGAGATGGGCCCCAGAGCCCGGAGCTGCTCACTGACAGCCGGAAGTAGGGGAGGAAGCAGCAGACGCTGAGGGTCTCCCTGCCCCACTGCCCCGTACAACGGGGACAGGAAGAGCCTCCACTGGCTCCCAAGCGCACCTCTGGCACCGGTCCTTATGTAGACAAAGAGCAGGAGGATGGCAGGTGTCCGGACCAGGGGAAGAAGGCGTCTGCAGGGAGAGGAGGGAGGGAGGCACTGGCAAAGCCACCGTGGGATGAGTCAGGCAGGCCTGAGGATTGGGACACTCGTGCCGAGCAGACACCGCTGGTGACCACGAGGAGGGCAGATCCAAGGAGGGGGCCTGGCTGGGGCGGTTTCCGGGAGGAAAGGAGTGAGAGATGTGGACATGGATTCGAAGGGGAGCAGAGGGGCTGACGTTGGAGAGGTTGGGGAGGGAGACAGTCAGGAGTGGGTTTCAAGACAGAGAAAGAGGGGCCGGCCCCGGGGCTGAGTGGTTAAGTTTGAGCTCCCCTTCGGCAGCCCGGGGTTTCACCAGTGTGGATCCTGGCACGGACGTGGCACTGCTCATCAGGCCACGCTGAGGCGGCGTCCCACACAGCAGAGCCAGAAGGACCTACAGCTAGGATATACAACTATGTACTGGGGGGCTCTGGCGAGAACAAGAAGGAGAACAAAAAAATTGACAACAGATGTTAGCTCAGGGCCAACCTTTAAAAAAAAAGAAAGGGCGTCTAGGTTGCTGGAATGACTCGCAAATCTGGGCAGCAGGCAGGGGGCGAACTCTTGGGGCCTCAAAGGGGCGAGTGAGCCTGGGCCCAAGGAGAGGCAGCTGGATGGCAACAGGGGGAGGGCCCGGTGGGCAGCAGGTGGCCGCAGCTGGGGGGCATGTGGGTGTGAGGTCGTCTCATGGCTCCTCAGGGCAGGGGAGAGAGAAGAGGGAGGGATCATGGGGAGCAGGTGGGCCTCGGGACCCCCAGAGGCTGGCAGGGCCCAGCTGTTACCCGGCCCACCGACCCCATAAGATGTTAACCGCAACCGTGCTCCGGGGAGAGAGTTCAATTGGTAACCCGACTGCAATGCCAGTGGTTCAGAGTCCTGCCGGTGACTGGGTGGCCTCAGCACCAGGACAAGGAGTGGCATCCTGTTCCTTTGCACCCCTCACTATGCGGCCCTGGCAGAGCTGGAGGCCCAGGAGTCAGGCTACCGCCCGCACACTCATGGGGGGGAGTGTAAAATGGCCCAGCCACCCGGTGAAAAACACTCTGGCAGCTCCTCAAACAGCTAAACACAGAGTCACCACGTGACCCAGCAATGTGATTCCTAGGTGCAAACCCAGGAGAGATGAAAACACACGCCCACACAAAAACTGGTGTTAAAGGGGAAACGGTGGAAACAACCCAACTGTCAGGCGAAGGAATAAACAAAATACCAAAATACTGTCCACCCACACACGTGTCCCCCCACATGCTGGAGTATGAGGCAGCCTGAAGAGGAGTGAGGCCCTGACACGGCCGCAGGGGGATGGACCCGAACACACGACACTCAGGGAGAGAAGCAGACACAGAAGGACACACGGCGTGTGATCCCATTGACGGGAAACATCCAGAACAGGCCGATCCACAGACAGAGAGCGGGCTCGTGGGGGCCAGGGGCTGGGGAGGCGGTGGGGGTGATGCTGATGGGGACGGGGCTACTTTTGGGGTGATGAGAATGTTCTGGAATTAGATAGAGGTGATGGTCACGCAACAGTATAAATATATTAAAAACCACTGAAACGTATGCTTTAACGTGGTTAAAATGGTGAATTTTATGTTACATGAATTTTATCTCCATTAAAAACAATTTTTGGGGGGCCGGCCTGGTGGCGCAGCGGTTAAGTGCACACCTTCCACTTCGGCAGCCCGGGGTTTGCCAGTTCAGATCCCGGGTGTGGACATGGCCCCACTTGGCAAAAGCCATGCTGTGGCAGGTATCCCACATATAAAGTAGAGGAATGTGGGCACAGATTTTAGCTCAGGGCCAGTCTTCCTCAGCAAAAAGAGAAGGATTGGCAGTAGTTAGCTCAGGGCTAATCTTCCTCAAAAAAACAAACAATTTTTTTAAAAGAAGAAATCAGGCCACAGGACGGGCCCTGTCCGGTCCTTCTCGGAACTGGTGGACACTCTGGAAAGGCCTCTGGCTGGTGGGCAGAAAAGCTGTGAAGCCCCCAGCACACAGGTGGCACAGCCCAGGGGCAGCCCCTCACCGCGGCCGGCTGTTCCGCCCTGCCAGCTCCTCCTTTCCTCCTCTGCCCTTATCCTAACTGGCACAGTCACCAACGGGGTGACACCTCTTGCTCCATCACTCCCCCTTGGTGAGCTCCACGGGGGCGTCGCCCCGAGCTGTTTTTCTGGCAGGCCTGAAAGAAAAAAACGTGTCCGGGCCATCTTCAAGACAAAGTCATAGGTCACCGTGAACCAAACGGCAGACAGCTGAGGCTTCCCGAGGGCCGGACAGGCTGGCCAGCGTGGCCCCGACACTCAGTGCCGCCAGGAGCAGGAAAGGCAGCGGGGTTCCCTGAGAAGGGAGGCAGCCCAGCTGAGACAATGGGGGCTCCCCACCAAGAGGTGGGACCAAGAGGTGGGGCCCCGAGAACTCGGCCTCTGGCGGCCAGGCTGGAGAGAAGGAGCCACACAAAGGCCATTGTGCAAGACGGGGAATGTGGCAATCTGGCCCTGGGGATCCTGGCTCAGTCGCCTTTATCCCACACTCCGCCAGCTCTGCCCTGTGGCAGGCCTGGCTCAGGGGCAGAGGGAGAGGGCTCACTGGCCCCCACAAACAACAGACAGCCCTGCCCCCATGGCCTCTGGAGAAGTGTTCAAGGCAGGAAGGGAGGGGATAAGATGTTGACAGCAGCGCAAAAGCAGAAACCACGGGCTTGTCCGCAAGTCAACCTCCAGGACCAGGAGGGGCGGGGGCAGCCAGGCCCGCGGCGGAATCCCATGAGTCAGTTCCCAGGAATGAGGGGGCCCTTTTGTCCGCACCGCTCTGAGCCTTGAGTGAAAATAAGCAAGTTTCTAGCCGAGACGTCGAGCCCCACGCGGTGCACCGTGCGCGGCCGGGAGGTTAGAAGTGGAAAGAAATCCCCGTGGGTCTGTGTTTCGCTGTAAGCACACACCTGTGCGTCCCTGGTGCCACCTGCGGGGGGCGGGGCCCCGAGGTGCTCGGTTACCGCATCTGCTTCCATGACCCCAGGACGCACGTGTCACCTGCAACAGCAGCTGGAGCCACGGCGCCCAGGACGGTGGCGCTCCCGCCACCGCGCACCAAGGGCGGGCACTGCGGCAGGAGCCTCCGCCCGGGCTCTCGCCGGGGTGACCCCCAGACCCAGCGGGGGCCCCCCCTCGCAGCGACACCGAAGCTGCGACAGGCGGGGGTCCCCACCCCCCAGTTTGACTTTATTTACACTCCAGAGGAAACCCGTAGTTTTCAGTGAGCTGGGGGTAGTTTTCTGCGAGCTCGCCCCACTTCCACCTCCGCGCGTCCCGCGGCGCCGCAGTGAACCACGCGGCTAAATGTCCGCGCGACGCAGCCCCGCGCCGCCTGCGTAGACACAGCCCCCCGTTCCTCCCCGCCCCCTTGGCGCGCTTGCGCAGTCCGCCCCAGCAACAAAGCCCCCTCCCGGCCCCGCCCCCTCCCGCCTCACTCCGGCCTCCCATTGGCTGGCGCCGCCACGCGCCCGCCCCGCCGACGCGGCCGACCAATGAGAGCGAGGGTGGGCGTGGCCGAGGGCGGGGAGGTGAGGCCCGCCGGCGCGCGTCCATTGGCCGGCTCGGCGAGGGGAGGAGCCGCTGCGTCCGGCCACCCGCCGCCGCGATGAGCCTGAGCCGCCTGAGCCGCCTGAGCCGCCTGCTGAAGCCGGCGCTGCTGTGCGGGGTCCTGGCGGCGCCCGGTGTGGCCGGCGCCATGGTGAGCGCGGCGCCGCGGCCGGACCGAGGGCCGTTGGGGCGGGCGCGAGGCTCCCCGGCGGGGGCCGCAGTGACCTGGGCGGGGGGCGTCCGGCGGGGGCGCGCGGGGGGCGGTCACCGCGGGTCGTGGGCGGGGGCGGGGCCGGGTCAGGGTCGGGACCCCGCGGGGCACCCTCCGCCCTGGGCCGGGCGAGCGGGGCTCCGACCGGCTGGAGCCCGGGGTCGCGCGCACGGGCGCCCGCCCCTCCCCCGCCGCGCGCCCCGGGGCCTGCGTGATGCGTCACAGACGGCGGTCCGGCGCCCTGGCTACGACCCTTGTCCCCAGGGCGCGGCCCTCGGCGGGCACAGCGAGGCCGGCGGCAAGTGGGCATGGCCCGCGCAGCCGCCGGGTCCCCGGGTCGCCGCAGGCAGCGGCACCGGTTGCCCGGCAGGCGGCGGCGCCGAGTCTCCCGGAGGAGGCAGGCTCCGGGGTGCCGGCGCAGGAGGGCGCGCCCCCGGCGGCGGAGGGAGCCCTGCCCCGCGAGCCCCGGGTCGATGGAGTTCCCGGCCTCGGAGAGCAGCTGCAGCGCCGACTCCCGGGACCCGGTGCGCGCGGGGTCCCCGCCCCCGCCGGCGGGATGGGCCTCCGCGTCTCCGCTCGGGTGCGCCCCGCGGCGCAGGGGGCTGGGCGCCTTTGAGGAGGAGGATCTCTCGCTTTCTTTGCCCCGAGGCCTGATTTTTCTTCGCGCGGATCCGCTTGGCATCTGTTCTTCCTTTGGGGAGCCGGGCTGGGCGAGCGGGCCGGGTGGCGCGGGGCCCCGTGCGCGCCCCGAGGTCGGCCGGCCGCTCAGCGCGCCCTTGCCTTGCAGTGTGCGTCCCGCGACGACTGGCGCTGTGCGCGCTCCATGCACGAGTTTTCAGCCAAGGACATCGACGGGCACATGGTTAACCTGGACAAGTACCGGTGGGCACCCGCCGGCCTTGGGGGGGAGGCCGGGGGTCTGGGAGGCGGGTGGACCTGACTTCGCCTGACCGCCCCATCCCGCGTCCAGGGGCTTCGTGTGCATCGTCACCAACGTGGCCTCTCAATGAGGCAAAACCGACGTAAACTATACTCAGTTTGTCGACCTGCACGCCCGATACGCTGAGTGCGGTTTACGCATCCTGGCCTTCCCCTGCAACCAGTTCGGGAGGCAGGTGCGTGGCGGGCCCGGGGTCCCTAGGTGTCCCTGGGTGGGGCGTTGGGGGAGAGAGTCCGGGTACCTCCGTGGAAGCGGGGACCCCATGTCCACTCGCCCCCGCACCCCTGCTCGCCCCAGGAGCCAGGGAGCAACGCGGAAATCAAAGAGTTCGCCGCGGGCTACAACGTCAAATTCGATATGTTCAGCAAGATCTGCGTGAACGGGGACGACGCGCACCCGCTGTGGAAGTGGATGAAGGCCCAGCCCAAGGGGCGGGGCATGCTGGGAAAGTGAGTGGGCGGGGGGCGGGGCAGGGTGGGTCTCGGGGGCCCATGGGGGTCCGTACCCGCCATGGGATTTCTCGTGACCTCACTCTTCTCCCGTAGCGCCATCAAGTGGAACTTCACCAAGGTAAGAGGGGCGGGGGGTGGTGTACAGGCCAGGACTGTCCCGCGGCCACCCGGCCTGGCCCAAATGGGGCAGCGGGAGCGGGGCGCCTGGCTTGCCCGGGGCCCTCTTGCAGGGGGTCCCCCGCGGTGGCCTCGCGCCCTGACGCCGCGTCCCCGGACAGTTCCTCATCGACAAGAACGGCTGCGTGGTGAAGCGCTACGGCCCCATGGAGGAGCCCCTGGTAGGTGCCCTTCCGGGGGGCGCGCGGGGGCGGGGCGCGCGGGGAGGCCCCCCTGATGCCTCTCCCCCCGCAGGTCATAGAGAAGGACCTGCCCTGCTACCTCTAGCTCCACAAGGCTGTGTCCCCCCGCCGAGCCCACCGCCCGCGCCCCCCGGAGCCTTCCACCCGGCACCCATGACGGTCGGCCTGAAAACCAGCGCGCTGGTGGGACCGACCCGAGAACCGGCGTGCACCTGCCGGAGGAAGGTCCCGCGGCCTGGCTCGGCTGCGGCTCGGCGCCCCCTCTCCGCCCCAGCTGCCTTGTGAGAATAAAATATACAGATTGGCCTGCTGGCTGCTCCTGCCTCTCTGGAGGAAGGGCGGGGTGCCTTTTGCCCCGGGTCTCTCTTTGCTCAGGGCCTCTGTCTCCTGATCCGTAATATCTTGGAGGCCGTAATCCTCATGACTGACTGCTGCTCCAGGCTCAGAGACTTAACCCCTTAGGAGGCAGCTGTTTGGGGCCTGCCTGGGGCCTCAGCCTTCCCCCGCGCACAGAGATGGGGAGGTCAGGGGACTGAGGCCTTGTAGCCCTGCCCACGAGGGGCCCGCTGCACCTGGGGCCGGGCGTCGGGCCAGGCTGCTCTGGGCACAGAGCCACGTGGGCAAGGCCTGCTCTGCAGACCGGAGTCACGAGGGGTCGCCCAGCCGGGGCACCCAGGCCTGCCCCCGGGCCTCATCTGGCAGAAGCAGGGGGTCTTGTCCACAGCCCCCCCAGGAGAGCCCTACAGGCCAACACCCCACTTGTGTCGTCGGGGCCCTGAGGCCATGGGCACAGCCTACCTATCTGTGGGCAGCACAAGGGAGCTAGCTGTCCTGGCGAGGGGGTGGGGGTGGCACAGCTGGAGAGTGGCCGAGTTCCCCAACCTCCACTGCTCCCAGGGGAGGCCGGCAGCAGGGGACCTGGGGGGGGGGGCGCTGGGGAGTCAGAATAGCCAGTCGGAGCGCCCAGCCGCCTTTGGCTGCCTCCTTGGCCGCTGCCCCCGTCTGCTTCCGTCGGGGGCAGTGCTCTGCAGAGTCTGGGCCAGAGGCCGCGCCTGCTCCCCCAGGCTTCCAGGAAGGGCCTGGCGCCCACTCCTGCCTTCCAGACCCAGGCCAGCTTGTGGGGCCTCCTGTCCCTGGGCTGCCCCACCTGCCGGCACCACACCGCCTGAAGCCCTGGGAGGACACCCAGGCAGAGCCCGCAGCCCTACACACAGGGCTCCTAGGAGCTGGTCCCGGCCCAGCGGGGTCTCAGGTGTGGCTTGTGTCTCTAGCGGGCTGAAGGTGGTCAGTGTCTGGCCCAAGACAGCATGGGCCTGGCACAGCCAGTCTGGAGGCAGCTGGCCTGCTGTGCGGGTGCCAGGACTACAGTGGACAATGGCTCTGTGGGGTGGGGCCTGTTCCCAGGCTGGCACAGGGAGCGCTGACAGGGAGGTGTGGCTGGGGCCGGAGCAGCCATGGCCTCCTGGGGCTGGACGAAGAGCGGGCCACCTCTGTAGGTGGCAGCCACCCCCTGACCTCACTCCCCAGGGCAGGGCTGCAGCGGGCACCCTCTGAACGGCCCAGCTGGAGGGGACCCAATGGTGGCAACCCCCCCCGACACTGTCTCTGCAGCTGTAAAACCAGACATAAAGTAGTGAAAAGGCACATATATTTTAAAAAAGATCTCTTTACATATATACACTTGACATAATTATAAATACAGATAGAAACCGGGGGGCTGCCGGCCCCACCGACTCCGTGGGCAGATTCTGGGGCCTGGGAGAGGCGGCCGGGCAATAATTTAGGGTGCAGAGAGCAGGGATGGGGAATTGCATATATTAACGGGGGTCTGCCCCACGGAGCCCCCCCAGACACGGCGGGGCCCTGAGCACCTGGGGTTTCCTGAGTTTCCAGCTCTTGGGGCACCCAGTTTTGCAGACTTCAGGGGTTCGGGCCTGGTGCCCCCCCAGGCCTGGAGGGCAGCAGGAGAGAGAGGCACAGAGAGGGCGGTCCCCACTCGCAGGCCCCGCCTGGGCCACTGGACCCGAGTCATCCTGAGTGGGACCTGCGCACGCGGCAGCCCCCAAGGCAGGGCCCGGGGGCACCCCGCAGGGCCGGCAGCTTCTTGGGGGTCTGCCCAGGCAGGCACGGCCGGGAAGGCACTGCAGTGAGGCCTCGGGAGGCTGGCGGAGGGCGCCCCTGTCCCCCTTCTCTCAGTAGTCGGCAGGGGCCTGGGCCCTGCTCATCACCCGCCTCGGTGGGGGGAGAAGGCGTCTGCGTAGACGTGGGGCGCTGCACATAAATAGGCTTCTCCGGAAGGGCGCCGGCTGCGCGCGGCCGGGCCTAGGAGTTGGGGAAGTGGGGGCTGAAGTGGATGACGCTCTGCCGCTCGGGGCCCCCGCCGCCCCCCGCCGCCCCCGCGCCGTTGCCCAGCGGGACGGCGGGCTCGGCGGCCTGCACGGAGTTGAGGGAGCGCAGCATGTCCTCCAGCACCTCCTTGAAGTTGATGTCGCAGCCCTGCTGCACGAGCGCCGCGGGGTCGGCCGGGACGTCGGGCGCGCCCAGCAGCAGCCCGCCGGGGGCGCGGTCCGGGGGCGGCGGCGGGAAGGCGAAGGGCGAGGGCGGCGGGAAGGCGGCCGGCGGGCTGAGGGTGAGGTCCAGCACCTCGCCGGGGCCCACGGGCAGCGCGAGCGGGCCCAGCGCGGGCGGCGGCGCGGGGAAGGCCCGGCCCGGCACGCTCTTGCGCTTCACGTCGGCGTCCATCAGCTGCAGCTCCTGCAGGACGCGGCGCACGCAGCCCTCGGGGATCTTGATGCCTGCGGGCGGGGCGGGGGTCAGGGCCTGCCGCGGGGCGCCCCCCCAGCCCGCCCCGCCCCCGCCGGCGCGCCCGCCCGCTCACCGACTTGCTTCTTCTTGTCCTTGGTCTTGAGGCGCACGATCTGCAGGTAGCTGCTGCTGGTGACGTCGGCCATGACGGCGGCGATGCGGCCCCACACGCGCAGCAGCGCCCCGCACAGCATGTAGTGGTGCCGCAGCCGCAGGCCCTGCACGCAGTCCTTGCCCTCCTGCACCAGCCGGCAGTGCCGGTTCCTGCGCGCGCGGGGAACCGACGGGCACAGACAGGGGTCAGACCGGCCGCGCCCCCCGCGCCCACCTCTGAGATCAAGGCTGCCCTCCTCCTCCTCGGGGATCCCGGGACGCCCCAGATGCCCGCCGGGCCCCCTCGTGCAGCGCGGCCTTGGAGACCATCCCTCGTAGAGCTGCCCACAGAGCAGGGCAGGGCTCCCCACGCGGTACCCCCCAACCCCCGCCCCGTCCAACTGCGACCCTCACCACGCCGTGTGGCTGCAGTGTGTCAGCGAGAAGGTGTAGCTGCTCTCCCAGTGCTCCCTGGCCTCCTCCGCCGTCACCTGGGGACACAGGGCCACCTGAGCCACCAGGACGGGAGGCCCGGCCATGCTTCCCACTGCACAATCGGGGAAACTGAGGCCCGGAGCGCCCCAGGGCCGCTCATCCTGCACCTGGCGGCGGCACGGAGGGCCGGCCAGGGGGCGGCAGAAGCCCCGCCAGGGAGGGGTCGCGGGGGCAGCTTGAACAGCGGCAGGACGCCGTGCAGGAGGCACGGGCCCGCGGGGCCCGCGTCCCGGGGATCGGCCCCTACCCGGTGGAACCTCCGGCGCAGGCTCTCCAAGGTCTCCAGCTGGCTCTGCCGGCCGATGTTGGGTTTGTACACGGTGAAGAGCTTGCCGCGGTTCTGCTCCGCCAGCAGGCAGCTCGGCTTGTTGCCTCGAACCTGCGCAGGGGGCGCGTGAGGCCAAGCGGGGTCCCCCAGTCTCGCCCCGCCCCGCCCCGCCCGGCCCCGGCAGCGCCCCCTCTCCCCACACCCCTCCTCTGTCTCCGCCCCGCCCCGCCCCCGCCCCTCCACCATCCCCGCCCCTCCACCATCCCCGCCCCTCCCCAGGGTCCCGCGGGCGCCGCGCACCTTGTAGGAGAGGTAGAAGCCGTCGTGCACGCCCGTGAGCTCCAGCGACCTGGCGTACGCCTCGTCCCACTTCAGCCCGCGGTCCACACTGATCTGCCAAGCACGCGGGCGTTAGGGGCCGGGCCGGGGCGCGGCGTGGGGATGAGGGGCGGGCGGGGCGGGGCCCCCTCACCTTGTAGAAGACCACCTGCCCGTCCTGCGGGTGCCCTGGGGCCAGGAACACCTGCTGGCTCTCCTCGTAGATCTCGTCGATGCCCGGAGCCAGGTCTGGGGGGAGGGTCAGCGGGGCAGGGTGAGCGGTCCGGCCTGGGGTCAGCACACGCCCCGGGGCAGTGTGGCTCAGCGGGCTCCACCGTTTGAGCTCTGGGGAGCAGTTCTCGGGGTGCGCCGGAGCAATGCCCCAGGGAGCGCAGTGGAGGGCTCCCCAGCAGAGCCGGCCCGGCCCCCCGCACGGTGGAGGGGCCCCCCACCAGCAGAGCCCACGTGCACAGCACGGCGAGGGCGCTCACCCAGGATGCCCATGTCGTATTTGCCCTCCTTCTTGTCCACCTCGATGAGATGGTCGAAGGTGTCGGAGAAATACTGGAAGAGCGTGTTCTGCTTGTGCACCTCCAGCCCCAGGATGCGGTTCAGGAACTTGGTGATGGAGCAGTCTGCGGCGGGCAGGGCGGGGCTCAGGCTGTGTGTGTGGGGAGCCCCCCACCGCCCGCCAAGCCTGGGAAATGCGGGGACCCCCACCCGGAGGGGCGGCGCCGGGACTCACCCTTCTCCACGTCCAGGCCGCCGGACCTGGACTCCCGGCCAATGATGCCGACCGACAGCAGGCCCTGCTTCATGTCTGCGGGAAGGGAGGGCCTTACGCGGGGTCCTCGGCCACCAGACCTTCATCCAGCCCGCTGGGGGCCCCTTGCCATCAGTGTCCCCTCGGGGAGTGTGTGGGACGGGCCTTGGACACAAGTCCAGCCTCCCAGTCCCAGCGCCCCAAACCGCTCCGGCCCAGCTGCCCCGCCCCCTGGAGAGGCCCCACCCCCTGGAGAGCGCCCCTGGTCCCCCAGCTCGCCCCCAGCTCACCGCGGAAGAAGGCGGCGCCCCCTCCAGGGTAGCCCAGGGGCAGGGGCACCTTGTTCTCCGTCTGGCTCAGGATGGTGTTGAGAACACAGCTGAGCGCC